TTCCGTTTTGCGTATTGGTTTTGCAATGTGTTGTGTATATTTGATTATATTTGTGCTTTCAGCTTACTTTTAGTTTGAATCGGACTCTAAGTCAGCTTTTATAGACTGGCTGATTTGCAATGTCAATCAATGATTCGTCTCTCTCAAGCTCTTCTTTAGCTTTGGAACATGGACGTGGGGATGGCACAGAGTCTGGACGAGGTCGTGGCAGCTATCAGCAGGTTTCGAACATGCAGCTGGTTGGCAAGGGGCATCACTTGCATGATTTGTCGCAGCAGTCACTCACGTTAAGCTGACGAAGGTTCAAAACAGCTTCGCCCACGCCATCAGGTTTCCGTTTTTGACTTCATTATTTCGGCATCCCCTGCAAACAAAAGCTCTTGGACGGTTCAGCACCTAGTAACTGCAACTGCACAGGTTGCTTTGAAGGTCCAGCCCTCTCCCATCATCCCTGTTTTCCGATGGCTCAGTAGCAGCGCGACATAGGGGCTCTTGGTGTTGGACGCGTCCGTGAATTGACTCCACGGGGAAAGAGTGGAGGGGATCAAATTGGCAGAGATTGAGAATCCTTTAGTCTCGTACCAGATAATAAGGTTGCTTTGTCTCAGATGTTTCGTTGTAGTTATGTTTGAACTTGTTCTCTCCTGCATGGACATGAGACAAGAATGTCAGGATCACAATCAGTTCAGAAGTATGACCAGTCAGACAAACCACGGAAACTCTTGTTCCACCCTTTTTTTTCTGGGTGCCGATTCTCCGTCCCCCCACGAAGGCGAGACGATGACATGGTCAAACACAGGTGAGAAAGCTCTGACCGGCCTTCTGACAACCCATAAGAAAACCCAGCAGTATGAGGTGTATAACAACTATTATATACATATTCAATATATCTACCTATATCAATTCCAGATCAATCATGGAAGACCCATCGTTTCAGGCAGTGTGAACATTTGAGGACGTTTCAAAGCTTCGATGGCAGGAATGGTAACTATGAGAAGGAAATGGTTGAAGTTGGCAAAAGTGTGGTGCCCCAAAGATGGCGATGGGAGAGTATGTTTGATGTTCCATGGTGTTCCATGGGGAAGAGGTTGATCAAGATTTTTGCAACTGCAGAACCTCTTCAGCTTCAGGTGTTTGTGATTCCTCCAGAAAAGCCGGATGGAGCCGCGACGCTGCCAAAGTGCAGTGCTACTCCCATCCGGCACTCCCATCCCCTTTGGCAGATACTCCCATCCCCGCAGAAAGAGATTCGTTGGACGATTTCTTCACCCTTGACGCTCCGAATTTATATAATACTGAAGCGCATCGCCGCATCGCTACTAGTAACAAGTGCCTTACTAGTAGTAACAAGAAGCTACTAGGGGCTCCTGGCCTACTATTAGGAGCACGAACGCTACGAACGGGGCTCCTGGCCTTACCACTGGTCCGTGTCCAACTTTTCGGGTGTGCTTGAAGGGGCCGAAACCGGAAGTCACACGCTGAAGGGTTTCGGCAGTGTCCGAGATTAGGACCCCTAGGGTCCTACACGAAGCAGAACGAAGCCATGCTCGAACTCCTTCAGGATAAGATGTGATTTATGAGGCAAGCATCAACAAAGGCTTCTAATTAACCTTGTCAAGAAGCGTCTCCAGTCACAAGGGCTCCAGCGGGATGTCTTTTTGGTTCGTTTGAGGCTGTAGTAACATGTACCTTGATGTACCTTATACCACAGTATGTCAGTGTACCTTTTTGTGTCCTGTTCTCAACCTCTTTTGAGAACGCACCAACCAAAGTTTCTCCGGCTCTGTTCGCAGGCTACAGGCGCGGAGAAATACAGAGACCTGACCGATCCAAATGGTTGAAGACGTGATCCGAGATTTCTCGGCTTTTGCAGCAGAGAGTTTAGACTTTAGGCGGTAGTACAGTCATTGTAGCAAAATAGGTCGATTGCAGCCCTTGTATTGGCGCCCCATTTTTTTTGGAATTTTTAGAGGTTGTTGCTACTTTTTAACGATGGACGGAGTGGAGGAGTTGAAGTGGACGCCATTGCAAGAAAGAGATCGCCAAAGGTACAAGGTTTACATACTGACAGGGTGGATGATGCGCCCCCTAGCCTCTTCCTTGAACTCAGCCTTTGCTGCAGTAGAGTAGCTCTTCAATTCATTTTTTGTAGGGTATCACACGGTATTTGGAAATCCCACCACCAAATCCACTCAGTCCTGGCCGCAGGCTGAGTATGGGAGGCATGGGAGGTCTTGCAATGATCTTCATCGTTGCCTTCTTCTTGTTCTTGGGCTGGGCCACCAACTGGATTCCGTGACTTGGACTCACTGGCGGCAAGACGCTTCGCCGCGGCGGTGAAGAAGACGACCAACGAGATGTCGCCCCAGGTCTTTAAAACCAACTTGACAACCCATTATACATATTAGGGTATATTAGGTTATACCGCCCTTCAGATCACCCTCATTGGCCCTCTATGATCATCTATTATCCCTCTATATCTTTCCTCCCCTCATGAGCAAGGGTGTGTTTCCCAGGTTCGACACTCCCTTTGACTTTGGCCTGGCTGCCCTCTTCTTCTTCGGCTTTGTCCTGCTCGTGGGCACGCTGAGCAATTGGTGGCCGTCACCTGCCGATTTGGGACAGGGGTGGATGCTGGGACCCCTCTGACTGACTGACTGACTGACTGACTGACTGACCGACCGACTGACTGACTGACTGACTGGGATTGCCTGACTTGGATTTGCAACGAAAGGACCTGGAGTCAACTTCACAGACCAGGATTTGCCGAGATAGTCCCGCATCAAAACTTTGATTGATGGTGCTTTGGCTCTGGAGCGCATACCGCAGAGGTCGGACCTCCGGAAGTCACCCGGAAGTCGGTCCTTCGGGAGATGAATCCAATGATCGGACATCCTCAAGCTAAACCAGCATGTTCTTCTCGGGGTGATCTGGCACGTGTGTCCATCGCCCACACGAACACGCTCCATTGCACCGTTTGCCAGAACCCGAAGCATTTGAGGTTGCATGATCAGCTAGCTGCTAGCTGCCCAAGGTAGCCCAAAGGGGCGGCAGGTTTGCACCCAACATGCAGACCTTAACCCACCACCTTAACCCACCACCTGAGGCATGGTGTCGGGGTGTGCGGTGGCGCTTTCTGGGTCTTCGGGCTGTGCGTCTTCATCACCATGGGCAATCTGAACAACTGGTGGCAGTCACTCAGTGAGCAACGCATGCGCGAACTTGCAAACACCAGAGTGAGAGTGAGTGGCTGGGACGGAGAGTGCGTTCCCTCACATTTGATGGAGCGGATTCTCAGCCCTCTTTACATGAGACAGGTGGGAATGTTGATGTTCAGGTAGTGTGAGGCATGGTTACTCATCCCGAGCCCTTGTGGGACTTCTCTCCAAATAGTTGTGCTGTAGGTCAAGAACTTGGTCATAGTATGTCAGAGTCTTCTTCGGACGCTGTCTGCTCGCTCTCACCGTCTGCTTTTCAAAGCCTGGAGGCCCGCTGGTGCAGCGCCAATTGTGATCGGAGCATCACCCACGGTGGCCATGCAGGGGGGTGCGGCGACTGCTGCTCATGCCTCTCGCCGGTTAGATACTGGCTTCGCCGGTCCGACTCGATCCAGTACTATGTTATACTATATTGTTATTGTATCATGCTGCGATCAGTTCCTGTATTCTGTGCCAAGGGAAACCTGGTCGATTATTATATATTGTGTTCATGGGGCCGAATGATGACCACAAACACGATGTTGCAGTGAGAAACTTGAGTGATCTCTCGCTTCCAAACATAGCCATCCTTTTCGCAGCCTTTGCAAGGAATGGATTTGCCCGAAAGGAAGGCACAAAATAGATAACGACCGGCCTTCGAGGATCTAAAAAAATGGTTCGGGTTTCCACGAAACAGCCTTTGTGGCGTCCGAAGCTCTTTACCGCACACCTTGGCAGCTGAGACCTGCGGTATGCTCACGGCCATGGCAGCCTCTTGGCATCGAGTGCGATGAACTCCCTTCGCCGAGTGTGCTGACCCCCTGTCGAGGGTGAAACCAAGGGGCGCCCGTCCATGTTGGTCTCTGCGGGAGTCAGGGGACCCCACCCGCCCCCAGCGATGCTTTGCGGTCTGGGGAAACATCGTGTAGCGTTGAAAGCTCTCGGATGCCTACTAATCCTACCGAATTCAAATCAGGTGAGTCTTGAATGCATGAACTTCATGATTACACTCCCTGAAGTAATATTGGAAGCGGAAAATCACCTGTTAGTAGTTAGATGTAGCTAGTGGTGGTCATCCAAGGGGACATTTTCCACTTCCATGATTATTCCAGGGAGTGTGAGTGTAAGGCCCAATGCTTTTGGTTCTAAGTGCTCTTTGGCCAACATACATCCACACACCACGTACCTCTATCCGATTGGTTCTCCACAATACTCAGGACACATAGGGTAGATGATGTTGTTTGCCTTCGGTCGGTGTGTACTGCACTGGTTCAAAAGAACAACGTTAGGTTTGGGGGGGATTTGCAAGAGAGCGCGTCTGACCAGTGGTGACTTTGAGTGAGAGGGTGACGACGGTGACGAAGGTGACGACCAAAGCTGACTTTCGTCCTGTTCAGCCCATTTTAAAGATGTTCGCATCATGTTTTCCGAGACGTTGGCACAGAAGCAGCTTTGCTGCAGCCAGGCACAGCTGATGGGGGGGACGCTGTGGCTGCCGATCTCCTGGTCCTGGAGCCCCCCCACTTTAATCACTGTTGGTGGAAGAGGTTCCAGTGGTGAGGTGTGTGGGGTTTGGGGTCTGGTTTTGGGGAACGATTGAGGATCGATTTTGTTAGACATTGCTTTTAGGGAATGGTGCAATATAGAGGTCTGCATGGTCTGCATCATACTAGTAGCACCATTCAGAATGAGCAGACCCGGATTGGCACGCACAATCCATATCCCAACAATACCTGATTTTCAGTTTGCTCGCACACTGACACTCCAGAGCCATAATCTACACTCGCGCCCAGCATCCGCCAGGGCTACACCACTTTCTGCCAAAGCTCTGCCCCAGCCGTGCAGACTGTTCACCATGTGCACTATGTTCATCATGCTGTGCCCGACGTGGTTCATTCCAGCGTCCCTTATGCCCCCGCTGGTGGTCTTGACCACGTTCACTGGCATTCCGGTGGCTTCCACTCTGCCATCGGATCCACCATTCCATCCATCCACACCGGCAGCTGGCACTCCATGGGATCGACTATTCCGTCCACCGTGCACACCGTGCACACCATGTCCAGCGCACCCAGCGGGGATTACGTGATCGATCCTGGCAATCTTGAAGACATTCCAATTCCGCAGACGTTGCACTGAGGAACTGACACTTGGCCAGCTTAGTTATATAGTTTGAGGACCGGATGCTGTTGCCCTTTACAAGTCAAGCATGAGTCAAACCACGCTACAAGAAAACTTGGGCCTTTTGCTCTGGAGGGGTTGAAGTCGACTTGTCGAATCTTTCGACCAATGAACTTCGTAGCTTGGCAGGAGAAATCGTGTGGGATCCCGAGGTTTTCTCCAAAGAATCGGTGCCGTCTGTTGCAGGTGTTCATTGGACGTTCATTGAAGTTTGCCTAGCTATCTTGGCCACCTGCCATGTAAGGACCTTGGTCGAAGAGAAACGAGGCCATGCGGTTTCTTGGATCCCGACTGTGCAGCCCGGCCACTCTATCATAATGAACACAGCAGCAACAAGGTATGTAACTAGCTCACTGGTTCGAGCGAGAAGATGGTATTGATATGTAATTTTTTATTGATGAGTTTCATTCGCAGCTGGTGAGACTTTGCAGATATAGTTCTCAATCAATGTTCAAGTTGGTCAAAGAGGACGCTTTCTACTTCTTCATGTTCCTTTCAGCTGTTCTTTTTCGAGTGAAAACGAGCGGAGGAGCGATGACATGCCCAGCTTCAATCAGTAGCATCACCCGGAAGAGCGATTTCCGGTGTGAGCCTACGTCCTTTTGCTGGCATCTTTTTTCGTGCTTCTTTGCGAACGGCTGTTGGCCGCCAGCAAAGCTGGTGATTCTGGAGCAGTTACAATGACAATTCAGAACACATCATCAAGATTCTAAGTTCAAGAGTATAGTTTACTCCAGAATTGTATTGGGAGAAATCTTCGAACTGTGAGCCGCGAAGGGCAACTCTTCATCTTCTGCAGCATCCTTGTTCATCCAGACGTCACCGTGCTTGTCCTTTGCGCCTTTGTGCCGTGAGCTCGCAGGTTGGTTTTTGCCGACAAAGCCGTAGAACTGAACCCTCGGCTCATCCAATGGATTGGCCGGTTCGGTGCCAGACGGCCCGCGTTGTATATAAACGAGCTTGGCGAAGGACCAATGCTCGCCTTGCCCTGAAGGATTCTTCCGGACTGAAGTGGTTCAATATCACCAGATGAGAAAATGTTGGTGTCCGGTTTTGACAGGGGGTTCTTTGACTTCCGGCCCACTGTTTTCCTGGCTCCTGGCACACGGTCCCCAAGGAAGGAGGGGTTGTTGGGTTGTGGCACATGCTTTTTGGGTTTCCAAGGAAGGACAAGATGTCGTCAAGAGGCATCTTCATCCAACCCTCCCTCAGTTCAATTGACCCTGACGACCTTGGGGAGGTCTAATTTTGGAGGCTCGACATGATGTGAGATTGACTCCAGGACTTGGCCGTCAGTGACACAATACCACCTTCCCAAATGATAGTAACATCTTTTAAGGCCCCATCATTAGACAAGAAGCTAGTAGTAACAAGTGCCACGCTAGTAGTAACAGGTGCCTTACTACTAGTAACAAAAAGCCATTAGAATTACAATAAAACTAAATTAAATTCAAATTAAAAGCTTTTTGTTACTACTAGTAAGGCACTTGTTACTAGAAGCGATGCACTTGTTACTAGTAGCTTCCCAAATGATAGTAAAATCGTTTAAGGCCCCATCATTAGACACCCAGACTCTTTTTGTCTAGGAAACATGAAACAGCCGTTTCGTTTGAATCGTGCTCGTTTGGCCCTTTGTCGGCCTAAACCCTTTCCTTGTAAGCAGCAAAGCTGTTTTGGTTGTCTCACAGGTCCACCTTTGCACCCAGATGGGGCCCAGGAGTTCCTCAAGAGGAAACATTTGCACATTTCGGCCAAGCGGCCAAGAGAGATTTGAAGAGAGATTTCCTAAGCAGACGACTTGTCCTGCTTCGAAATTCCAGGGTTTTCGAACGGTTCCATCTCGATCCATGAGTTTCTGGCCCACGCTATCCGAAACCTGTTTTCGCTGGACCAGTGTATATTCAGCTCCATCCACCTTCGTGGCCGGCCCCCGTTCACCGCGCGCGTGCTGTTCCCTCTTTGGATCCAATGGCCCGCCGGGGCCTTGGCGAACTTGGGCGAACGAAGTGGCACTGCAGCCCCATGGGTGGTCATGTTCTTTGACTTGTGGGCCCGGAGGATTATTTTGATGGATGTTGTGAACAAGCGGTTTTAAGCATTTTTAACCAAGGTGTTCTGAACAAGGGTGGTATTGCAGTATTGCGCATCCAAGAAGTATTTGGACTCATCACATCCCAAAGAACCAGAGGAAAGGAGACCAAGGAGACCAAAGACAGGCCAGGAGATTGGAGACTTGCCGCTTTTCGGGGGAGCTTCTGTGCCTCAGCTTCTCAGCCCCCTCGTCTCACCAAGGCCAAGGACATGTCAGCACTTGTCGCTTGGCGAAAGGACCAGCTGGAGGAAGACCGTGGAGTCTCAGCACTTTGTTGTGTGAACTGGATTGAGCTGGATGGGAAAGGAGGCCAACATGAACGGAATCCCTCCCGACTTGCCTTCTTCCTCTTGATCCAGCCTGACTTGGACGGTCAACTTGGACATGGACATCCATGGAGACATTCAATTGATGCTGACCCGTTCGTCAACTCACCCCAACCATGGTGACTGTTCAGTTTTGCTTTGGCTTCTTGGACCCCCTTTTTGGTCGGTTGTTTGCAAGATCGTTGGCAAACCTCCGGAGCTCCTGACAACCCGTGTTGGCAGTACCGTACCTAAGCCGACGTCGGCACAACGAGGCTGTGGGAAGTGGACCCTAGTTAGAATGATGGATAGATTTTGCCGTTTGGTGCATAGATTTTCACAGCCTCGTGCACCTGCTATGTTTGTGAGTGTTGCAGCTGGGGTGTCACCTTGGCGTCGGCAAGTACGGAACCTTACAGTAGCTCCTTCATGTTCCGTTTCCTCTTCCTCTTGCCTTTGGACTACCTTCAGGTGGTAGAGGAGCTCTACCACGTCCGGGGCTTGTTTCCTTTTCCTCTTCTCTTTGACTATATCTACCTACCATGTGCGAACTTCCACCGTCAGCTTTCCTGGAAATATATAATGAATTTGTCCTCTTCGGTGTGTGTGTGTGTGTACCCCTTGGATTCACAGGGTGCCTTTTGGCTTTCTGTTCCTTGTTTTTGATTAGCAGGGGGGCACGGAGACTGATTTCCTATCCGTGCCAACGAAGCTACGCAAATCAGTTGGAAGAGAGTTGGGACGCCAACTCTTGTACCTGCATGTTGATTTGGTTGTGATGTTTGGTCACCACGACCACGCTCTACTCTACACGCCAGGCTGTTTGGGTACTGGAAGGTTTGCAGATGTGCACTCGCCGTTTTTTGTCGTTCGCTCTTTTGTTCGCTGAACCTTTGTGGGGCCCTGGTGCTTTTGAGACTTGATGCCTTTGAGACATGAAGCTCCATGGTGATTGGACATTGGACCGCTTTGCATATTACGTCTTTTTTTAACCAGGGCAGTTTTTTTGATTTAGACCTTTGCGGGGTGGCGCAGCCAAATCGTTCGAACTTTTCCCGAGAGAGTGGGTGTGTGCACCTGGAATCACGGGTTGTCGTTAGCTGTTTTCTTGGCTTTCGCTTCAGCAATTGGGCAAGGCCTCCAGCGATGAGCCTTGTCCATTCGCGCGCCTGCTGTGTTTGTGAGTGCTGTAATGCAGCAACTTTCCACTCGTAGAGATCTTCAGGCTGTTGCAGCATGATTGCTTCAACACACGTGGCAGGCATAATTAAATGTTGGTGATTAAAAGGTCCATTGTGTGGACTCACCAGACCCACCCGTGCTCGTGGCGTCGCGAGCTTCCACTTCCAGCACCTTCCACCAAGCGAAACGCGGAGCGGATTGGCCTCAGGGTATGAAGTGGATCCCGATTCCGTGAAGATGGAGGAGCGCATGGCATCTTGGCGCAGAAAGCTGTGAAAAAAATCCCGGTTGATCTTGAGAACAATCTTCATTTGGTGATCTGCCTTTTCATGTTTTTCCCGAAAGAATTGCGAAGGGTTCTTCCGGAAAATCCCTTGAACACTGACACTTCGACACTTACACTTACACACTGACACTTCCACCACATTCGCACTACATACACTGACACTTCGACATTGACACTTACACATACACACTGACACTCGGCAAGCACGCAGTGTAAGTATACAAGTGATGGGTACGCAAGCATGCTTTGAGCATGCAAGCATGCAATGAGTAGGCAAGTGTGAGTATGGAAAACTAGCACGGGAGATGTCCTAATTAAAAAAACATTTCCCCACTTTATAAATTCTCTCTTAAAGGCGGAGGGCGGGACGAACAGCGTCAACCGAAAGTGCAACCCTCTGCGGAGATCGTGCGTGTCGAGTGCGCGAAATGCAGGCGAGAGTGCGATTTGCCGGCTGCGCGCGCAACCCTCTGCGGAGATCGTGCGTGTCGAGTGCGCGAAATGCAGGCGAGAGTGCGATGTGCCGGGTGCCCGCGCAACCCTCTGCGGAGATCGTGCGTGTCGAGTGCGCGAAATGCAGGCGAGAGTGCCGGCTGCCCGCGCAACCCTCTGCGGAGATCGTGCGTGTCGAGTGCGCGAAATGCAGGCGAGAGTGCGATTTGCCGGCTGCCCGCGCAACCCTCTGCGAAATGCAGGCGAGAGTGCGATTTGCCGGCTGCCCGCGCAACCCTCTGCGGAGATCGTGCGTGTCGAGTGCGCGAAATGCAGGCGAGAGTGCGATTTGCCGGCTGCCCACGCAACCCTCTGCGGAGATCGCGCGTGTCGAGTGCGCGAAATGCAGACGAGAGTGCGATTTGCCGGCTGCCCGCGCAACCCTCTGCGGAGATCGTGCGTGTCGAGTGCGCGAAACGCAGGCGAGAGTGCGATTTGGTACACAACTCTAGTACGCAGAGTAGCTGGGGAGCTGGAAGCTGAGCACTGGCGACGTGGTAGTGCGAGAGTAGTACGCAGAGTAGCTGGGGAGCGGGAAGATGAGAACTGGCGAGTGGGTAGTACAACTTGAGGGCGTGGAGTATCTGGGGAGCTGGGAGAT